ATGACCAGATAAAAGCTGGACCTACAACCATTCTCACTGGTGAACATCAGTTGAAAGAAATGTAGCTCTTTGGTGAGTAGGATAATCAACACACTGGTGAAGAAGAGTAGGATGCTATAATCTCTGCATGTTTGATGCCTGGTTTCCCAGATTGCTACTAATCCATTTGCAGTCTTTCCTTATTAGATAAAACAGTCAAACTGATTGTCCACTTGCAGCTTCCAGAGCACCAGGATACCACTGGTTCTCTGACACCTCCTGGCCTTGGCAAAACACAGAGATTATAACTGGTGTTTTGGTTGAAAACCTGTACATAGATATGGATAGGGCAGGGGTGTCAAACATGCGGCCCATAGGCCAGACCCGGCTCCTGTCTGGCCCTTCAGCCTGCTCTCTCCTGCTTCCTTCTCCAGTTCTGCTACTGCTGCATCACAGCTTGGTTTGCCAGATTCTCTCAGTCGCACACAGAAGAGATAGATAGACAAGCCTCTGTTCACTGCATTGGTTGAGGCTACTCCCCCTCCTCCTTCAAGGGGAAGGGAGGGAACAAGCCAGAGTTTGGTTTCTGGTCAGGCTCCTTCAATTGCACAGGAAACACAGGCAAGCCTTTCTTCCCTTCCTTTGGCTGAGGCTCCTCCTCTTCTTCCCCTTTGCTCAACTGCCACAATTGCAACAGGAGAAATATAAAGCACCTTTAAGACCAACAAAGTTTTATTCGAGGTACAAGCTTTTGTGTGCCTTGCTACAGTGTGTGTATGGGGTTTTTTTTTTGTTGGTCTTGTTATGCTGTGGATCTCCTGGGTGCAACTAGGGCTGCGGTCACACGTAACAGAAGCCACACAAGTGAGACGGAAAACAGACGGAGTTTCCGGGCGCGATCTCACCAGCACATCTGGGAAGCGTAGCACTCCCGTGGCTCAACCGGGGCTTCCAACCGAAACTGCGTGGCAAAAAACTAGTACCTTGGAGGTACTAGTTTCCGGAAACTGCGGGGCAAGGGCGGGCGTCTGATCGCGTTTCCGGTGGCATCCGGCGCCCGCCCATGTCCCCTTGCAAATAAGGTGTGTTTTTTTTGTCCAAGTCTCTGTGGATGCGCATGTGCACCCAACGGAGCATGCGCATTTGTCATGTACACAAAAATAAAAAACAGTTTGCTGCGGCGCGCGCTTCTTCGTTGCGCGCCGGCTTGTCCTGTGATCGGCACCTCTCCCTTGCCATGGAACCTCCATGGAACCTCCATGGTACCTCCACAGGAGGTCTGATCACGTAACTGCGCAGTAGTTTGCCCCAGGGCAAACAGCCATGCTTCTCCTCTGCAGTTTCCTGCCCGTGTGACCGGGGCCTAGGTTTGCCTCCCCTTTATCACTGTATTCATGCCCTTATGATCCAGTCTCTCTCAGTAGGAAAGTGACCTATTTAGATTATGAATAACAACAAGCCAGTGAGGTGGATTAGGCTAAGAATGTGTACCCAGAGCCAGTTCACCAGCATATTTCCTTTGTAGACTGAGGATTTTGAACCTAGACTTCCCAGATACCAGACTGATACTGACCACTATACACGGCTGTCTCTCTATTCTTGCACTGCCTATAGGAGTTTCAGTTATTTTTCTTGGAAGACTACAGTTTTAGACAAATACATAGCCCTCACTCTGTGTCATGATGCCTTCACATATTCTTGACCAGCACACGAAGCAATTTATGTACAACAGCTCTCAATGCCCAGCCGTTCAATGTTTTCCCCTGAGTCCTAGGTTCAGAGCACTGACCATGAGATTTCTGTAATAAATGTCAATAAATCAAAAGTAGATTTGCAGCTTACAGATACACACCTGAACAGCATATTCAAGATTGCTACAGCACAAACATACTGATGCAATAATTCAGACCAAGAGGTGTCAATGATCAGAGACTGTTAAATAGACAAAATACTGCAAGAGTGCTAATGTTTTAAGCATGTTTTTATTTTTAAAAAATCTTTAATTGTATTTGAATTCTTTATAAAGGTTATATCTCTGCTACCTGGCATTACATTTTATGACACACATGGCCCAGCCCAACAAGGTCTCACTTATGTCAGATCCGGCCCTCATAACAAATGGGTTCGACACCCTAGGGTACTGAATATTAATAACATTAAATCTTCTGTAGTCATGTGGAGATGCTCATGATAGCTGTGGATTCTGATAAGCTGGGGGATGCTTTTAAAGATGAGAATAATTCTACTCTATTTTTAGCTCAGTAACATTGCTCACTGGCACAGATTTATCGGTACCTCTTCTCCAAACCTGTCCCACTGACTCTATGCATGCATTAACCTGCTAGACAGGACTGAATGCATGAGGTGGAACAGCAGATTTAAGTACTGTGGCCCCCTTCACCTGACTGACCTACAGATCATCTGCATGATGCTGACATATTGGGGAAGGGCCCACACATATGCTCCCACCCCATGATTAACAATACCACTTTCCAAATGTTGTTGGTAACACGAAGGGAGCATACGTGAGGACACTTCTTCTATGCCTGTCTGCTACAACATTCATGAATTGATGTTCATGTTGAGGCTCATACCTACCCCTCCATCAACATGCAGAAGGGTCATGCATATAGGGCTATTGTCTTTTGAAGTGGTGGTGGTCAAAGGCTAGTTAGTCTTTCAGTCCCACCACACTCCCATAGAAGGATGTGAGCAAAGACAAGGGACTCTGGATTCTCCATTGTTCAAGACTATTTAAATCTGAAGCTTACAATTTCTGGGAGCAATATCAACCTCTACTAGTATTCTTTTGATAGGTGAGGAAATATCATGTTTTCCCTAAAAAGAAAGATTTTCCTCAGGGTAATTCTGCCTTTTGTTTTCTTGCATTGGAACAAAGTGCAACACAATGACTTTGAAGCCAGAAGTTTACGTAGCAGGGACACATCCTCATGCACTGACACATTACTGATTGACTTTCTCAGACTAAACTCCCAAGGCTTTCTTGGAAGGACAAAGTCTCCTTGGCAACCTTCCATTATACCGATGAAACCAAATCATGCTCAAATAACTGCCCAATAACCTGCTGACAGGTTGTTACATAAAATGCTACATTTTTTCTCTCAAATATCCACTTCTGATTTTTCGAACACATTTTCTCATTTTTCTACAAGAATGTTTAACTCAACTACAAAATAACAAACTTATTTTCTTCTAGAAGGTCCAGATGGTGATTAAATCAGAATTGTCCATGTGTTACACAAAGCTTAAAGCCCAGTTCCTATATTCAAGCAATCAAGTAAATCACTTATTATGCAATAGCCATGTGAAGGTCGTTCCATGAGGCGAATTGATTCTGTGAGCAGCCCCAAATATGATCCTACCTATTTTCACTGCATTATCACAAACCCACGATCGTTTAATTGGCATCATCTCAATCCACTAACGAGTGAAATTTTGGGCTGGCACAGTGAAAATTGCCACAATCATACACAGAGCCATTCATGTCACCTGAATGACTTACTATGTTGCAGTAACATATATGCAGTTGCACTTTAACCAGAAACCAAAGTGGGTACTTGAGCTCAACCCAAGATATGTCTTAAATTAATGTTCTGGCCTGAAACTTTGACAAACTTCAAAGTTAAGCTTAAGCATCCACTTAAGGAACAGTCCAGTGTAAATTAGAAGGAACCATTTTGCATAGGAACTACTATCTCACAAAAACCATGTATCATTCTAGTATAATACATAATAACAGATCAAAAAAAAATACAGGATTTTACATATTTTTAAAACAGATTTTTCACCACAGCTGACTTGACTAGTGGGTTATTTTGCTTTTTCTTGAGGCATCTTTCAAAATGCACTTTGTTGCTCCCCCCCCCCAATGAATCTACAGGTACACAAGCATCACACTTAGGGCAATGGTTAATGCAGATGGAGTACTGCAGTTGCAAAAGAATAACAGATATTGGCTGAAATCCACAAGTCACCAATTCTGAAGCAGCAGTCCAGACATTAAAAGGATAATTCTACAATGGCCGCGGTCACACGTAACAGAAGCCACACAAGGGAGACGGAAAACAGACGGAGTTTCCGGGCGCGATCTCACCAGCACATCTGGGAAGCGTAGCACTCCCGTGGCTCAACCGAGGCTTCCAGCCGAAACTGCGTGGCAAAAAACTAGTACCTTGGAGGTACTAGTTTCCGGAAACTCCGGGGCAAGGGCGGGCGTCTGATCGCGTTTCCGGTGGCATCCGGCGCCCGCCCATGTCCCCTTGCAAATAAGGTGTTTTTTTTTTGTCCAAGTCTCTGTGGATGCGCATGCGCACCCACCGAAGCATGCGCATTGGTCATGTACACAAAAATAAAAAACAGTTTGCCGCGGCGCGCGCTTCTTCGTTGCACGCCGGCTTGTCCTGTGATCGGCACCTCTCCCTTGCCATGGAACCTCCACGGTACCTCCACAGAACCTCCACAGGAGGTCTGATCACGTAACTGCGCAGTAGTTTGCCCCAGGGCAAACTGCCACGCTTCTCCTCTGCAGTTTCCTGCCCGTGTGACCAGGGCCAATAAATGGTTTCTAGTTAGCAGTCTCAATCAACTGAGTTGTCAATATGATTACAAACAAGTTATACAATTATTCCAAACAATGAACGTTAATATAATCAGGTGTATCTAAAAGAGCAACATCAGAGACTAAAGTATAATTTTAAATTAATGAATCATAAATTACTTAAAATATAATTACTCCAGTGCTGAACTCACTACCAATTTCTTTAAAGTTGCCATCAGCTCTTAAGATGATGCTTCTGTTCTCACTGAATGACCAGGAGATATTCAGCATCAACATATGTATTTTTGAATACACTTATAAGATGAATAGTACAATCCTATATTTAGAGTTATTCTTGCATAAACCCACTGGAATCCATTGGGGTAATGCTGCAAATGATTGTACTGTTGGTATTTCTCTCAACTTGAAATGCATATAATTAATGTGAATAGAAACTTCTTACCTGATAGGGCTGAAAGGCACTATCTTCAGTTACAAAGTCCAGCTGTTTGTCCACAAGGAATTCAACTGCAGTGATAGAACTGTATACGCTTTTCCCAACCAAAGGTTTGAACGTCTAAGGACAAAAACAAAACATTATAAAACTGGAGTTTCTGAAAACCTAAACATACCATGATTTTTTTTGTTCAAATTTGTTTACAAAAGTAATCACTTACTATAATGCTATAATATTATATGTGAGTGTAAGCATATTCCATAGAAAGTTTTCCATCACTTCATTTTTCCTGAGGATTTTTCAATTTTTATAGATCCTTTTTTTAATATAAATTAACCAATACCTTCATAAATGAAATTCCAGTCAAACTTGGCAGTTTTAAAAATGTAACTAACTTTTTCCAGATGCAGTCCTTATGAAGCAGACATACTGGGATCCACCAATCTGTCAGCAAAAGATGCTGACGGTAATGGATCTTTCCTATATTACCCTCAAAGCAGCAGTCCTTTCTATAGGAAAGTTTGGTCCCAAGTGTCATAGCACCCATGTGGATTAATAGCCATGCAGGTCAGATGGCTGCAGTAGGAACATGGAAGGGGACACAATCACCCTCGGTCACTGCAGCTCCCCTGATGACAGAGAGAGGAGGGCATTTCTTCTATCCCCTTCCTTACCACAGCCACCTCATCCATGTAGCTATTAGCCTATATGGGTCCCACAACCCTGAGAAAAAACCTTCCTGTGATTATACAGAGTGTCAGGGGACTGAGTGACACACAGGAATGATCTATCCTTCCATCTGCAGACTGCTAGACCCATAAAATCTCTGCTTCACACACACACACACACACACACACACACAAAATGCATTTTTTTGCACTAAGTCAGATGATCCCAGTGGATTTAGGGCATCAGAAACATTTTCAGTACTGAATTTTCTGGGAAATGGGGTGTTTTATTGGAAGTTCTCCCCAATCAGTTTGCACAGTACATTAGGCAACAAAATGTTGCACTTCATTTTTCTTTAAAACCTATATCACTGTTGACACTGAATATCATGACAGGAAGATTGCAGCACACCTTACTTTGTGTGTGTATCTGAATATTGTGCTTATCCTGCCCCCACATTTGAGCATTTTCCTTCGCATAACCATTTCCCTCCCCCCAACTTGCACTTCTATCATCTTTGCCACTCAGGCATTTACTACCACAATCTGGTTTCTTCTGTACCACAAACAGATAAATCTGATAACTTTCAAATTTTCAGTATACATAAATTGAAGAAAAGAACCTATGATAAGGAAACAGACATCACCATGCTGAAAAACTGACAACAGTGTTGTCCCTGGATAAATTCCTCAATTCTCATACCCCCACCATAGACTGAGTAGACAAAGAAGACAGGGAAACAATAAACAGGAAGATGGTGATCTCTAAATGACAAAATAGGCACTGGGATTGTGGAGTCTCCAGGTCAAAGTTTGTGTAATGATGGCAGCAACTAACATGCATTTTCACTAGCATAGATCATTAAACTGAGGCCTCCATAACATGGCTACATTCTGATTGTGTTTTACAACCAGGGTTGCCAACCTCTGGATGGGGCCTGGAGTTCTGCTGAAATTAAAACTGATCTCCAGGTAACAGAAAACAGCTTCCCTTGAGAAAATGACAGCTTTGGAGGGTGGACTCTACAGCATTATACCCCGCTAAATTTTCTCTCCTCCACAAACCCCATGCACCCTAGGCTCCGCCCCCAAATCCCCAGGAATTTCCCAACCCAGAGCTGGAACCCCCATTTACAACATTTACTGATGCCTGGGAATCAGATTTCTGACAGATGGAAGGTGCATTCAGATATCACAACAACCTGTAATTAAACTGAGATTTGCTGGAACAGACACAATCACCACTTGCCCTGCCTGTGCACTCTCCTTGCTCTTCTCTTTTTCCCCTCACACAAAGAGTGTGATTAAGGAATCCTGATTTGAGCAGCCTTGAAAAAAAAATCCAATTCGCCTTATTTCCAAATGCAAATGGCTCGGTGAACTGGATGGGTTGCCTGCCACAAATGAGGAGTCTAACCCTTCAATTTAATCTCAATTTGGAATCCCAGTTTACAAGAGGCAAATTTGCAAGAGACAAACAAATTTCCAGTTAATCCAGGCACCTTCATTTTGGCTCTTATGGGGAACTGGAGTTTGTTTCAAGGCTTCTCAAACTTGGAACCCTTGATTGTACTCTTTCCTCAAAAGGAGGGGGAAGGAAAGGTCAGGGGAAGCTAGGGGAGTGCACAACAGGCACAACAAATAAACTGCATTTGTGGCCATTACAGCAAATCTCAGGTTAATTACAGCTTGTCATGTTGTCTGAGTGCAGCCAGCCAGAATCTGACTCAATACAATTTCCCAGGATGAAGCATGGCGATGGCAGAGGCTTGGCTATGGAATTAGAGCCACATTTGTTGGATGGAATCCAAACTAACTGATTTGGACCAGTGCCTTGCTGGAATCAACTTCTACAAGCAGGTAGTGCTGTCCCAAGTAACAGGAGATGAGATGCTGTTGCTGCTATACAGGGTGAGCAAGCAGAAGGGGGAAAAGAAAAGCCTCATTCTCTTTTTACCTGCCTGAGTGGGACAGAAAAATTCAACGGCTGCCTCCCCCCCCCCACCTTGACATCTAACAGTACAGGTAGATGTGGAATTGATAGGTGTTTATAAATTTGAAGAACCTCTTTACAAAAAAGAAGGGGGAATAACTGAATGATGGAGAAAAGTGAAAAACATAAACCTGAAAGAATCAAAGTCATTAGAAAGACAGAAACCAAGCTAGGTTTGAGAAGCCTTTCTTCTCCCTCAGTTTACTTCCAAGCTTCTCTTCAGTCCATTGTATTAACCCAGATAGGTAAACAGACACTTTCCAAGTATTTTACAGACCTTTAACACAAGGTGCCTCCCATTCTGTATGATGATGTCATGTCACTAAATAACTATGTAACACCGAATGCCCCCAGGTATAAAAGAGATTGACTGTCAGGAAGGCAATGTGGTGGTCAAAAACACAAACATTACAACTGGCTGCATATGCTTTTACAATGTTAAGTGCAGAAACGTCCTTAAGGATTTGGGGGGAGGGGTTTTGAGTTTAAAGATTATGTGACAGGGTATACCCAGCATAAAGGAAATATTGTTAGTTCCCAGATTTATTCAGCCCAACGTTTGCAGTTCCATACTGCCAGTGTTATCATGCTGGGTGTTTTAAGGCTCATTTTCTCATTTTACTTCTATCAATGTGGTTCTCCACAGACCAGTAATTTAGAAGCTACTAATCTGGTTTCCCTAAATCCCTTACCTGGCAACCTCCAGCAGTCTGTTATGGTATAAATAGTCTAACAACAAAGGAAGGCTCCGAGTACTTTTTGTCTTAATTTGTAAAAGTGAATAATTAGCATGCTAGGTGTATCTATTTTTGTATTCTACAAGAAGTAGTAAAATGACTTCTTTAAATACAAACACACATATAACCAGAATCAGCATCAATTTAAAGAAGGAGAACAAGTCTCCAGTTTGGCAAACTACGTACTTGTCAAAAAGACAGAACTAGCAGAGTTCACAGTAGGTAAAAATGTTCCTTAGTGCAGCTGATTTTTCCACCTCATGCACTACTATAATCCACACTCAGCTGCGGAGACATAGTGTGGTTTCAAAGATAAACAACAGTAATAATGTTGAAGTGTTACCCTAGAAACCCTACAAGGACACAAAAATCTGAAGGCTGAAAGCAAAATTAACTACTTGTACCCTGTTTGTAAAGCAATCTTGCTCTCAGTGGATTGTGCTATAAAGTATTACCACCTCATGCAAACAAAGTAAACAAAAACAAACACTGTACAACATTAAATAGTAGCTTGTTCCTAGTTATTCCAAGGATTTCCATTCCAATTTACCTGCACACATACGTAATTACTTTAATAAAACTGGACCTAGGTATGCAAAGAGGGAAGCTCAAACAAGCTCATTATGCAATATGTTCTTTACTTCTAGCACTAAAAAACCTCTGCTTGATGTGCATTTCCCCCCCCAAAAAATGTGCTCATCCTTTACAACATTAAAATTTGTAGACAGCCAAAGCTAGTTCCCTTTCAAAATAATCTCAGAACATAGTTCAATAAACAAGACTGCAGTTAGTCTGCTACACTGTATAAACAAAATCTGTATGACTATTTTATCTTACTTAGGTACACACACAACTCAACAGCCTGAAGCTGACTTCATTTTGAAAGTATTTGCCTTATATGGTGTACACGCTTTATTCATGATACCCTTTTGCTTTGAATAACTTGGCAATCTTGTTAAAGCATTTTGTTAATGGAAAGCTCGTGTGCTCGTTAAAGTACAACTAGAGATCTGCAACCAAAGATCTAGCTGGTTAATTCAAGTGAGCATGCTAAATTCAAATCACCTACAGCACCATCTACCCATCTTATCTGGACTCCTCTTCCAGTGAACCATAGCCCATAGTCTCTAAAGGTCCTCTACCTGCACACTCCCTTTCTGCCAACAGCAGTTACTCGTTTTCACAGAACCTGTCTAAAGTTTTCTGCTTAGCGGAACTAACCTTCTAAAATACTCATAAAGCTGCACTGTTTTTCAATAGTCTAGCACCTTTCCCTGTAGTAAAAATAAGTGTTAGCGGACATGCTACAAACATTGGATATGCATTGTGAGAGAGGGGGGGTTGAGTAACTGATATTTTAGCCCATTTAATACATACATTTAAGAGCTTAAGGTTGACAGTAATTTCTGGTTTCTCATGAACACAAAAAAAGGATAAACTTTCGAGAGATATTTTAAATTCTAATTAAAGGTATTTCAAATAAATGAAATCACATATGTACAAATAGAATCAAGATCACATAGCAATTATTAACTTACATGTACTGTAATTCTCTTTAGAGATGTTTGATGGAAATGAAAATACAAAAATATAAAATTCAGATAAGATTAGACTCAGCAAACTGGATCGATTTACTTGTTCCACCAGACTGGATCAATGAAGTCCTACTACTGACTGTGGAAGTGGAAAGTATTCACTGAATCCAGCCCATTCAGTTCTTTT